CAGTAAAGTCAGCAAGGGTAGAGATGAACACATCAGCAAATTCTGCCCTCTTCTCTTTCTCTCCTTCCAGAACCATGTTGACATAGGCCTTTCGCAGAGCAGCCCGTCTGTTGGGGTCCAAAGGAGGATATCCACGAGCAGTCACGTCGGCATCAGTGTTGGCTAAAACCAGTTCACAGTAAGCACGTTCGTCATCATCGGCAGGGACATGAAGTTCTTCAATTTCAGGGTCGAACCCAAACCTGTCCATCTTCATGAGCATGATGGCTTTCAAATCTCCGACACCATACAATCCGGCATCGAATCTGTCGATCACCCAACGAAGATTTAAGCAAGAGTTAAGCTCAATGTCCTTCTCCATCTCCTCTGAACCCCTGAACTCTTGTTTCCCGAGTTCCTTGCCTTCTTCCAACCCTTGTGCGAACTTCAGCTCACCGAAGGCTTCCTTCTGTTGCTCTAAATTTTTCAACTCGGCAGCATGTGCTTCCGCCAAGCGGATCAGTCTCGCCTCCTTTTCAGCTCGGTCTTGACGAGTCTTCTGATGCTCCTCCCGAGTTCGCTGATGGTCCTCCATTTCCTTCTGGTAACGATTCAAATTATTCCGAGCTTCCATCTCAGATGCGCCGATTTGTGCAGTAAGCTTGCGCACCTCGTCCTCCAAACGCTTCTTTTCGGTAGTCAAACTTTCCATCTCGGTTTTTGCTGCAACGAGTTGGGCGTTCTTGTCTTCAATTTCGGTCATCAGGCTGGCCTTATCCGCCTCCAATGAAGCCAGCTGACCGTCACGAAGTTCCAGTTTATCTTTCCGCTCGTTGAGTGCAGCGGCATTCATCCTGAACTCGTCTTCCATCGCGCAAAGGCCCACCAAAGCTCTCCCCAATGTCGCTTTGGCATAACTGAACCTGTAAGAGCTCGACAACCCCGATACTCGAGCCTCAGTCGCCGGATCCCAAGACATCATTGGAACCCGAGCTGCTTCTAACACATGGGGGGGCTGGTGAAATTTATTGTTGAATTTGGGAACGATCATGGAATGGTACTGAGTAAACCACTTCTCCATCACGTCCTCCGGCAGATTCTGTTCCAAGATCCGCTCCTCATCAATTGGCAGATACGTGTCTCCTCCATCCTGATGGACCGGAGCACTCCTTTCCAAGTCGAGCTGGCCGACATCCTGTCTAGACTTTGAACGACGTTCCTGATCAACGTCGAATTCCTCACTTGCTTTCCTCTTGTTCTTCTTCTTCTTCTTCTTCTTCTTTTTCTGTTGAGAAGAAGCTTCTTCCACTGTTTTCTGAACGGCCTCAACGTCCTCTGAACTCGAAACAATGACATGGAGATCAGGGCGAGCAGCTTCAGCCTCTTTCTCCACCTCCCGAGGTGGAGAATGAGTAGCAACCATCAACTCGGTATTTGTCTCAGGGGGTGGCTCAACCACGGGCTCAATAGCAGGGGCCGGAGCTGCAACTGTAGCTGGTGTGCTCGACGTGACTCCAACATCGTCACCCGCCGCGGCACGACCTGAGATAGCCTTCTTCTTCAAGTTAGCCAGAAAATTCATGCGACCCATCTCGGTATCTTTCACTGAAAATCTACGGCGGTAATCTTTTGCTTCTCGAACCGATTGGAATCCAAAAAATCCTAACAACGGATAGTAAACTGAAGAAAGAAAGCGAATAGTCAAAATCATATCAATGTTTGATAAACCTATCTAGTCCAAAGCCATGAATTGAATTGATGCTATAAGAACTCACCAGGTTCGAAGTCGGGGATTGCCTTTTTGGGTCCGAGTTTCACTTCGGCAAGCTTGGCGTTCTTTGTCAGCAAATTCCACTTGCGATCCGCTACACTAAGTTTCGCGATCTCCTCGAGTTTTTCTCTAAACTCCCCGCTTAATTTTGGTTCCCTTTTTCTTTTTGCTACAAATATGAAAAGGTCCGACCTGTTAGCGAAAGAAAAACAACCTGTCAGGGAATTCTGAATAAAAGAAAGGAACTTACGGAAAGAAGAGACAACTCGGGTTGGGACAGTCATCCCGTCAATTGGGGCCTCAAGTCGGAAGTCGGGAGACTGCCAATCTCCACCAACCCACAACCATTCGTCCTGAAAGCCATGAAGGGTTTCGGGTATCCCAGTGACCAATTGTCCTATCTTCAATTCGTACTGCGGCCTCGCCGCACAGAAAAAGCAACCTGTTGGGGGAACTCCATCTCGTTCCCTACTCCTCTTAAAGAACAGGATACTTCTCATCTCGTCGATGGTAGGGAAGGGAATTTTCTTTTGTGCTAAAAGAACCATAATCCCAATAATCTTTTTCCAGCTATTGGGAGTAATCTGGCTGAGACTGAGACCCCAATCGCGCAGATAGTCGGTTATGACGTTGTCTAGAGGGAATCTCAGGCCCGACCTCAGACTTTCAGCGAAAATCCCTATGCAACCCGGAGGAGGACAGTGAATCCTTTCCCCCGGATAGGGAGCGAAAATCCTCACCGAGGTAGGGATTCGTACCCACTCACGGAGGAGAACTACGTCGGCGTCGGTCATGGTACTGGGTTCCCCCAAAAACGGAACATCTTCATCGGGCCATTGACGGGCAGGACGATTCCAATAACCCGACCTCACAGGAACATCCCGTTCCACCTCGGCATCTCCTTCAATATCACGTTTGCGAATATCCAAACGTTCCACAAAAACAGGGTCCCACCGGTAATAATCTCCCATCAACTCCATCAACTCTTCATCCAACCTCTGGTCCGATATGGTTCGACTGCTGCTGCCCCGACCGACGTTCTCGCCACTCGCCGCCATAATTAAAACCCAGAAAAACGACACGAAGAAATTATAAAGTGAAAAGAAGAAATTAGGGCTTACCGAAAAGTGACGTAAACTCTCAAAGGTTTCGAGATTTGCTGAAATACGATGAAGAAGGTGAAATAGGAAAGGCAAAATATGCAAAAGATGGTTTGAGGAAGCAGTTGCTTGAATGAAGATTTAGTGAATAGAAACCGTGAATTTATCTGTATATATACACTCGTAGCTTTCTAACCGTTGAAGATGGGGAGGCGCGTGGTTAAATGACGCGTCGATTCAAAGAAGTGCCCCTTTACTCTGACATAACGTTCAAATAAAATCTCGTACGTACGCGTGTCCCAAAACCGCCAACGTTAATGTCCGAAAATTACGGTACGTGCCCATTGAGAAGCGTATTGGAGACAACACGTTCATAACCTTTCAAAAACCGCTCAATAAATTTCTTACATCATGGAACAACTTTGATAAAGGATCGAAAAAGACGTAAGTTTCGCCTAAGGGAAATACCTCGGCTTAAGCTTGTGTGGGAAATCCTTGCCTTATCTCGGCAACCGGCAATAATTAGAAAGAAAATGTCATTCAAAAGCATGCATACTCTGCATACTTCTTAATGCCAGGGGCCTCTATGTTGATATCAAGATAGAATATCTTGATGTTATGATATAATTAAAGAAATCGCGAAGATTAATGCATAAACTGGATTCTGGACGACGTCAAGCAGTACATGTTGCATCTCGGTAATCTCACCTCGGTACCCGTAAATGATACCGCAGAATTTTTGGAAGTCATCAACACAAGTCGTCTGAACCTTGGAAAAGGCCAATTCGGCCAAAGAATTATTTATTAAGAAGTCGTAGAATATTGAAGATCTATCTAAATACCGACTTCGCAAGACGAACCGAACTCATTCCGACAGATGTGACACTCGTCACACAGATAGAGGCGCGCCCATGCTAATCATTGCCTAAAAAGTTCTTCTACGTCATCGCCGCCCCTAAGATGTCAAATCTTCATTAAAACGGGAATGATTTGTCTAGGGATGTGTGCCAGACATACCTATAAATAGCAGTTCTGAAAACGAGAGAAGGGTTCGAAAAAAGATCATACACACTCATATATTCAACTCGGCAATCTCACTGTAAACCGACTTGAAAAACATAAAAAAACCGACCTCACTGTACTGAAACCCCCTTCAAAATATTCAATAAAAATCTCATTTTCCGCGATCTTTTGTGTTAATTATACATTGTTAACGTTGATTAAATCCGTTTATCAACACAACTTTTGTATATAGTTACTAAGCAATATTCAGGACTTAAAAACCGTCATAAGCAATATTCAGGAAATTCAACAGTTGCCGACATTTATTCTGGATATTGGATGCCCTGTTTGCGGACAAATTTCCCTCAGCAACAGTTGTAATATGCTCGACCACTTTGCGCATATGTAGATTAATTTTATGGTTTGTATATTTCTATTAATCACTGTATAAGTACAATAATCAAAATTTGATGAGATGGTTTGTATATTTCTATTAATCACTGTATAAGTACAATAATCAAAATTTGATGAGTATTAATTTCATGAATGCCCATCTCACAACAAAAAATAAAAATCGTCCCTCTTATTTATTATTGGTAAATTTCGATTTTTCGGTAGGAAACCGTTACCGAACCGAGTCATCGGTAACCGAATTTTCGGTTATCGATTACAAACGGTTGGGCAACGGTTTTATATTTGTAGTTACCGAAATAATCGGTTCGGTATCGGTTTGGCCTTATTGGTTCGGTAACCGAACCAATACCAACCCTAGGTCCAACCAGTAAATTATTGAATCGGTAGCTTCACTGGTTATCGGTTCAATGACGGGTTCGATTTTTTAAACTTTGTCCNATAGCTAAGGATTTAGCTCACCCGCAGGAGCCATATCAAAGCCGGTATTAAACAGGCCGGCAACAGAGAGCAGCTTTTTCATGGCTCGTACCTGCCAAGTTGAATAAACAACTTTTAATCATATGCAATTTTTTTACCAACAACAAATAACTGAACCAATCACAAATTCATCACCATAATGAAATGAATAAAAGATATATTGTATAAAATGTGAAATCCCACATAATCAATCAATCAATCACCAAAAAAGTTAGGTTCTCAATAGAAGTTTTAAAGTTAATATAAATAACCGTTTATCATACCTGCATCTCGAGCGCGGCTATGTAATCTGCCGCTTCCTCCAAAACCACTGGTAGCGATTGCTTCCCGCAACCAGGAACCAGCCGCCCGAGAACGCCGGCTTTCCTCTGAAACGCTGGGATTCCTTTAGAGTTCCTCTGGCTCATCTTCTTCGCAAACTTCACTTTGAGCCGGCTCATGAGGACCGCCCGACTCCACCTCGACCGTCCTCTGGCAGTCGCGGCCAATATCCGATTTGCCGCCTCGTGCACCCGCCAAGAAGAGGCGGCCGGCGGAGCTTAGCCAAGTAGATTCGCTCCTGGGCGTCCGATTTCCACTCGATCCGTAAATTCGCCTCGGGATTGACGGTTTCCGATTGGATTTGGGTCTGATATTGCGTTTTCTTCCGCTTTTTCGTTCTCGTCGGAGGTCGATCGGGATTGGCCGACGAATTTGAGGGCATTATCTTCTTCTCTTGAGTTTGTTCCTTTTGGTTCGAGATTTTTGGGAAGGGTTAATTTGAATGGGTAAAATCTGATGGGAGATGAAGATTAACAGAAATCATGAAATGGATCATTTACCTGAATTCAATTGATGAGTAATTCGTTCAATTTGGTTGCGATTGATTATCAGGAGATGTGTATGTATGTATGTGTGTGTATTCTATAATCTATCTGTCTATACAAAAATGGAGTTTTTTTTTTGTTTGGGCCTTTGGGGATGGTGTTTCAAGTTGGGGGTGGGTAAATGGATGAGACCAAATGTTGGAGGGGATTTAAAAGGGTGAACCGGGTCATCACATGGCCAACCCGGGACCAGTCTTAGTGTTAATTTTGAATCAACAAATGTGTGCGGGTCTTACTGACTCTGCACTTTTACCCCATCTTTACTATTATTTATAACTAGTGTGTAGTCTGTGCGATACACCGAGAAATAATATTCTTCTCTTTATATTAATTCAAAACGTGTTGAGTCTAAGTGACAGACTCGCATGCTTCGGATGCTGATATAACAAAAATCTATGCTTCGTAATGTTGTTTATATATTAATTTCAATTGACTCATATTTGTGCATGTAAACGTTAATTATTCATATATTTCTATATTTCTATAATACTAATAACATTTTTAAAAAAATGATGGGAATTATACTAATATCGAGATATTTTTATGAGAAACTTTTGAAATTGAGAAGCTAGCCCTTAGGTTTGATGTAATTGACCTGTGATGTGAGGTCTAGTTACCGCTACAAACCATTTCATTCTTTTCTGAGATCCCGTTTAAAAAAATGATCGAGAATTATACTAATATCGAGATATTTTTATGAGAAAGCTTCAATGATTAGTGTCATTATTTTGAAAAATAATTTTTCACTGAATATCACAAAATCTTTTTGTCAAGTTTAATTAATTCAGTTTTATTTTTTAAAGAAAATAACATACAATATTTATAATCACAGACAAATATGTATTATTGTTGTTTCTAGATTAATGAATATTTTGAATATTTTTAATCATAGACAAATATGTATTATTGTTGTTTTTAATAAACACAGTTCATCTATTACTAATGTTATATTTAGGGAAGTATGTTAAAATATAATCAACAAAAATTTTATTCTACTTTTTATATATCTCTATATAACTTTTTTGAATTATTAATTTATTTACTTTTTTAAAGTATAATTCTTTCACAATTTCTAACACCAGGCTGCGCAACGTGTAGGTGACGTACTAGTTATTTTTTTATACTAAGCATGGGTAAGCTAAGCAGTAATCATCTCCACTGTACGCGCTTACCAATAGAAATAATCAATAGTTATTAGGTGAATTGTCGAAAAACATCTCGAGCTTCGTTGTAAGCGAGCTATTTTTCTAAATTACAATACAAATAGTGTATAATCTTTTTCTTTTTTTTTTCCAAACGGCAATTATATTAATAACTGAAAATTCAAAAGAGTACAATCGAAGTGTCAAATAACATACTGGAACCAGAAGACTGTACCAACCCCCCTTATCATCACACGCAAGGGAGTACAAACTTCATCAAGGAGGCGAACAACCACAACACAAAACTCCAAAAAAGAGACACTAACTCCATATAGGAGAGAAAAACAGACAAAGTTGCACTAAAAGCAGACAAAGCTGCACTAAACGAACAAAAAACACAAGAAAACTCACACCAAATATAAAAATAAATCAGAACCTCCCCTACACCTAACAGACCTAACTCCCGGCCACCCGAGACCGCACATGAGCCACTTCCACTAGCATAGAGATCCAACAAAGCTGCAAACCAGAACTTCCAGCCCGAAAACTGTGGCCACTCGTGCTGCCTAGTCGGATCTGATGAAGAGTCTGCTCTCGATTCAGATCTGAACTCCGAAAAACCATCCATGTCGGGGGAGAACGGGAGCCGCCACTAAGCCGTCGAAAATCACACCGGAGAACTCAAAAATGGTCCAATCGTACAGTCGAGCCGCACCCTTGAACACTACACAAAGAGAACTCGAACCCCGACGCACTGACAACTTGATAGACTCCAAGGGCTGAGGCGTGGCGCGGACGATCAACGACCCTTCCGTGGCTAGGGAGATGGCGGATCTGCAGGCACCAATCCGAGCCATACACCCTACGAGGCCACGAAAACAGCGAGAAGAAGGTCCACCAGCCCTGGCAACGCGGTTGCAGGTTGCCGGTGAAGGAGGGGCAGCAAAATTAACGGATCTTAACTTTGTTTTGCAGAGGGGTTCTTTGGGTTTAGGAAAAAGGCAAACGCAGGGTCTAAGAGAATCTATGAGTCAAACAATCTCTCTCTAATAGTGCATAATCTTACAAAGCTATTTTTCATGTCATTGACTTTTAACTCTTTACCTAAGGGCATCTGCAACGGTGTGTTAATTTGGCCCGTTTAAACGCCCTACTGCCGTTCATTGAATTGTGGCTATTCATTAAATGGTAGGCCCCCACTTGTCCGTTCAGTTGAATGAACGGCACTTTTGTGCCTTGTTTTTTTTTTTTCATTTATTTTTACTGCACTTTGAGTGTTTTTTTTGTTCTCATTTAATTTTAATCATTTTTTTTTCTTTTTATATATTTATATATTTTAATACATTTTATTTTTAATGCACTTTAGGTGACTTTATTTTGTTTTCATTTAATTTTAATTCATTTTTTTCTTTTTATATATTTAATTATTTTTTTCTTTTGGTCTTGTAGTGTTCTTTTATTTTCGTGCATTTAAAATTTATTATTATAATTTAAAATATTAAATTTTTATTTTTATTGAGAATAAAATATTAAAATTTATATTGAATGAGTGGATAATGGGTCCCATATATGTATTTAAATGAATGTTAGGGATGTGGGTGTGTGTTTAAATAGAGAGAGAATTAGTGAAAATATGATGTGAATGAGAGAGAATGTAACTTTTTGATTGAATGAATGTAAAAAATGTTAAACCAATGCAGATGCCCTAATGAGTACTTGAATTTCTTAGTCAAACATGAAGACTATCTTTGATTCATTTTATATATATAACTTTTATATGCTTTGATATTGGATTTCATTACTAGTAAAAAGCTACCCTTTCCTAAACATTCATACATTAACACTGTTGAATTCAGACATTCTTATTAAAATATTTAGATATAAGATATGCTTGTTATTATACTTACAATTTTTGTTTAATTGAGACAATCTTATTAAAATATTTAGATATAAAATATGCTTGTTATTATACTTACAATTTTTATTTCTTGTAGAACGTAGACAAATTCTACTTTTCTACACCCCGCATGTGATTGTCCACTTATATTAACATTCATTAACCACATTTATTCAAAAGAGAAGCAACAAGGAAAAAGAACAAGAGCCGCAGTGCCTAATGTCAATCATCCTAAATTTATATCATCACAAAATTTTAATTTTTAACAAAAGCTGCCAAGAAAATTTCCAAATTTCTTGCTTGTTAATTATTAAGCCATAAAAAGGGAAAAGCTAAAAAGGCGAAAAAAAAAGGATGGATTGCAAAAGCCCAGAGTTTACACAAAATCACAAACATGGCTGATAACTGATAACAATCGAGGTAATTAATATTTTCTTACTCAAGAATTTTTTGATAAATATGCCAAATCTGAAATAGTTTCTTCAATTATCGGAAAAAAAAATGAGAAACTTTTGTCATCATCATCATCACAACACGAACATCGTCATCAATCAATCAGACGGCCAAAATCTTGAGCAGTCCCTGAAATGTAACACCCCCATTCTCATCCCCACCGCCCAACTTAATCATAGCCCTCACATCCTCGTCATGGGCCTCAAACCCGGCCCAATTAAGATAGCTCTTCAGATCTTCATGGCCCACCTTTCCGTCCCCATCCTTGTCCATGACCCGGAAAGCTTCCTCCATCACACCGCCGCCGGATCCGTCATTTCCGCCCTTCTTCTTCCTCCCGCTCAACACCCTCTCGAATTCCTCGTACTCAACGTAGCCATTTCGGTTCGAGTCTGCCATCGAGATCATCGACCCGATTACGTCCTCGTCCGACCCGCCGGCGCCGGAAAACCCGCCATAGAATGACCGGAGGTCGTCGTAGCTGATTTTCCCGTCGCCGTCCGCGTCGAGGACTTCGAACGCCGAGTGAAGATTTGGGTTCCGATCAAATTTCGCGTTGCTTTGCAGCGATGTTCCTGTTGGGCACATTTTGGGGAGAATTTTAGAAAGAGAGATTTTTTACGAATAAAATGCGAGGTCGAGATTTGAGAATGAAGTTCGTGGAGAAGGGTGCGGGTATATAAAGGCATAGGGTTTTGGGCTATTGGCCTATTGGGCCCCGCGTGGAAGATTGGGCTGCAAGTTTTTCAATTTCTTATAACTATTTTTTTTTTTAAACGATAGAGATGTTATATAAAAATGCACAAATGTGCAAAATAACAGCCATTAGCTGAATACAAATATCCAATAGCTGAATAAAAGCAGCCAACAGCTGAATAAATTGGGAGGACAGGTCCGAAGACCGCCTAGAACCGACCCCAATAGGGTAATACTCTAGAAACACAAAAACACAACGACACTAAAAACTCCGAAAGAAAAAGAAAGAAACGACCCGACAAGGTAATGTCCGAGTGTACGATCCCAACAGGATAATAAGGTCACACTCGGGCTAACAAGCCAACGGCCCAAACCTAAAACACAGACAACACAAACCAAGAACAACCTAACGCAACTCACGAAAACAAAAACTACAAACTAAAAAACACGACAACCTCCCTCAGCAGATACATCCGAAAAGGACAGTAGAAAAAGCCGATTTCGAGGAGAGCTCCGAAGATCAGATACCCCGCCCGCCACTGCATAAGGCCTAGCAAGACGATGACCCAAGTCTCAGAACAAACCGAAAACCCGACCCGCACACCAACTGCAAGAAACCACAATCGCCCCCCAACCGGCTAACACCACT